TTTTCAGGGCGGCCCTGAAGCTCCTTTTAAAAACAAAAAACCGGGCGGCTCCAAACTTATATATTTTTTTCCCCCCCCCCCCCCCCCCCCCGCAACCCTGAATGAAGGATACTGAAGGCTTTGAAGGTGACTGACTAAACTACGTTGATGAAAATTATTATTATTATATTATTATTAACAGCTGTTGTGCTTCGGACAGACACACAGATGAAAACAAAATCTCAATCCCATGCTGCGGTCTGACCTGAGGCCCTGCCCCGAGGATCTGTGCGAAAGTTACGCCCCCGGGCTGCAGAGAGAACACACAAACACATTACAGTACGTCCAGTATTTCCACAAACACACCCCTTGTACACAGACTTGGTCAAAGACATTATAACGTGAACATTAAACCATTTGCCACAAAACTATTAATCTCTAGCGAGGTAAAAGCCTGAGACACCGAGGTGAGGGATGTATCGAGGGATACCTGGGGATATAAAAACATCCACATAAGTGTTTATTTTACTGAATGTTGATGTCATAATTCATGTAAAAATATAAAATTAAAATAACACTTATCACTTCTATAAAACAAGTAACACATATTTCTGTTCTCACTCTCTAAACGCCTTAGTTTTAATCTTAATTTTCAATTTATCATACTTTAAATGTCAATCTGCCCAGAGTGATTGTGGAAAATATGCAGTTGTGCTTTATTTATCTGCATTAGAAGCACCACGTGAACAGAAAGGAGGAGCAGCATGAAGACGCGAGGCCCTTTGAACATTTTGACTTTGTGGAATTACCACAGCAAACTATTTTACCATCTCAATAACTGCCTAGAATTAAAAACAGGCTGGAGCAAAATGATGTTCAATGAATATTGCGTGTTGATTTGGTGTCCATTTAATGAAGGCTGCCTCATAGCAGCTGTCTGCTCACTTGATGTTATTGCGGTCATTCTATTTTACTGAGAGACCGGCTCTGTGCCACCGAATGAAACGTAGGGTCCTTCTGATAGCTCCCCTCAGATTAACGGTGACTTTGAAGGTTAATTTGGACTACATGGAAATACAGCAGGATTTACATAACGAGCTTAATCAACCGCCATTTAGATAACGGCCTTAATTAGCTGGAGGAGGGAGTTTGTCTATGAGACGTCGTGTTGGAGGGATGTCATGTCGAACGAGCGGTGAGGTGGTGCCATCGTCCCGCCAGCTGTTGTGTAACCAAAGCAACAGCACACTGGTGCCACCAGAGATGATGGCCCCCTGCTGGTTTTCGGTTACAAGAGTGTGTGCATGCGTGTGTAAACTTGCCTCTCCTGCTGGGTTGCTCGAGTGCGGTGCCCTCTGAGGAGACATATTGGTCCTCCTTGAACCTGTGAAAAAGGCTCAAGGGTTAGAAACAAACATGAAAATATCAGTGTGTCCTTCTCATCACTCGTATCAGCTGGAATAAACCATGAATCCACATCTATTAAGCTACTTAAGTGGAAGTTAAAAATCCTGCATTAAAAAGGGCACTTTGGCAAAAGTATCCAAGTATAATTACAAATTACAAAAAGTCATTTGTTCTATTATATATTGGTATATGTTCATGTAGAACAAATAGTCGATGAATTAATGAACAGCTGGTGCTCAATGTTTGTTGTGCTCTTTGACACACAACAATCACATGGTTGGGAGGTTGGAAAACGTTTCTTAAAAAGTAGAATTCTTAGAGTAGAATAAGTCCATCTGCTAAGTTTTAAAGGGCTTGATGCTCCTTCTGAGAGTCCTGACTTTCATTTCGAAACGATCAAAGTGGAGATTAATCGAAGAAAAATGTTTTCCAGCAAGAAATAAATAAATGAATTTGCTGGTTAAAGCTTCTCATGATTTTCTGCTTTCTTTGTCACATCTCAAAATAAACTTTTATGAGTTAAATAAATTAAATAAATGAACCAGCATTTTGAATACATCATCTTGGGCTTCAGCTTTTCCTTTTAACATTTTCTGACAATAAAAAAAACAAGGAGAAGCAAGAGGACAATGAGAAGAAGTGGAATCCGTTCTGCCTTGTGCATTGTTTAGAGTAGGGTTCAATATCAAGGTCCTCACATGTTCTCAGTCTTCTGTGCGTCCCACTCCCGTCTCCACTGGCCCGTGGCGTTACGATGGCGTGCTAGTCTGTCCTCGTCAATCTGCTCGCGCTCCTTCTTCCAGCTCAGGTACTCGGCTCTCTCCCGGCCGGTCATGGACATGGTCATGTCCGTGGAGCCTTTTGGTCCAGGCCTTCGACTCTACAAAACACAGCATGTGTTACAAAGTGAGGAAAATCAACGATGCCACGGAACCTTCACAAAGAACAACATTACTCACAGTCCACTCCTTCTCCAGTTCAGCTCTCGTCTTCACGTTGTCAAAGTCCAGCCCTCCCCAGTTCCGTACATGTCTCCTGCTGCCCTCTTTGCGGTCCATGTCAGGTGCCGGGCCTGAACGTCTCGGGTCGTCCAGGAAGTTACGGAGCGGCTTGTCTCCATCCGGCTACGGAGAAGATTCATTAATGTAAAGCATATCTGACACTTATCACTTGTCCTCCATGTTTAAGCCACTTAGAGCAAGGGAAATCATGCATGATTTAATAAAGGATTTTGATGTTTATGCCAACTACTAGGAATCCATGCAAATGTAAACAGGGACAAAAAATTGTAAGCGTGCAAGTGTTTTAAGTTGATCAATAAAGCTGAAATCTGAGAGTCTGCAGAGACAAATGGAGCCAGGAATCTTAGATGGTTTTGTTCAACAACAGAAAAACTAAGTGCAACCGATCAATACCATCTGATGAGCTAAACATTATAAAACAATCTGTAAACGGTGACTCTCATACCCGCTGTCCTTTCTCATACTCGGCTATTTGCTCCATCTCTTCATTCATCTTCTCAATGTTTTGTCGCCTCTTCTCCTCCCATTCCTGTCCAAAAAACACAACAGCACAGGGATGCATCATTAGAGAAAGATCACGATTCATATATTTACGAATACAAGACGTTAATGTTTCCACTCAGAAAACAGAATGGATTGAACAACTGGGGAAAGTCAACATCTGCAAAAATGATTTATCTTTTGATTACACCTTTTTAAGGACGACCCGGTGGGCGAAAAGTAAAGCCAACATGAGTGTCTTAAACTATGTTTGCATTGTTTTAACTGCCAACAATGAGAAAATGAGTCAACATCTCTCTTATTTATTCTGAGTCAGCATCGTCAGGTTTATGGTCTCAATCTGTAGTTTCAAATCTGTAATACAGCATGATGTTCATTTATTAAAGTATGGTCCATTTATAGTAAAATACACTAAAAAGCATAGCATGCCTCAGGGCGGGACTACTGTGATTGACAGGTCACTGCCAGAGCCATATTCTTCTATGTCAGTGCAAAATAAGGTCACTATAATGATAGTGGGTGACATCACAACAAATATGCCCATTTGGACATGTTTTTATAATAAAGGACTGGGATCATAATGAGCCCCTTTCTGATAAAACTGATGAAACAGGATTCCAAAATAAAGATACCATCGGGTGTATTGTAAAACATGGAAATTATTGTTCCAATCACGTTGATGAAAAAAAGCTTGATGAAAAGTACTTCATCCGTACTTGCCTTGGATTTCCTGTCAGCCCCACCTGGTGCACCACCTGGAGTCCCCACTCCTCCTTCTGCTGCTTCTCCTTCTCCACCACCTCCTCCAGTGCCTCCGCCTCCTCTTCCTCTTCCTCTCCTCCCTCCTCTGCGTCCTGATCCACCCGACTCCCCAGGTTCTCCATCTTTAGGGGTCCGAGGTTCCCATTCTCTTCTCTCCTGGCGACCTCCTCCTCCTCCTCTCTGACCTCCCCGACCCATTCTTCCCGACCCCGCCCTCCTTGGGGGGCTGTGGCTATCACTCGGTCCTCCTCGTTGGCTACAGTCGTTCGACCACCTGCCACTATCCATCGCCCCGCCGCGGTGGCCCCCGTCGTTGGGCCCGCCGCGGTGGCCCCCGTCGTTGGGCCCGCCGCGGTGGCCCCCGTCGTTGGGCCCGCCGCGGTGGCCCCCGTCGTTGGGCCCGCCGCGGTGGCCCCCGTCGTTGGGCCCGCCGCGGTGGCCATCACTCTCTTCTGATGTCTTACGCCCGCGGGGCGTTCCAGGTTTCCAGTCGTTCACAACTCTTTTGTCCTGCAGGAAACAAACAATGAACGAACAAAACCAAAAAATGTGTTGTCTAACTTGTTAGACGATTACTTAGGATATATTATTTAAGTCTATCAAACCAAACAGATTGTGGATCATCGTTGCACACAACTTCCATCGCCCTCTATTCTAGAAATGGTGGTTGGCTGGCAAACAGTTGTCAAGTAGCCCGACGCGTTGGAACAATGTATCGCCCGTCTTAAATTCAGCGCCTGTACTTAATTTAAACACATCATCTCAATCTGAAGATTCGGTGCCATATTAATAGTACAAAGGACTAAGCAGGGCTATGGATTATGCAAAACCACGGAGTGATGAACTCGAGAGAAAACAGGCCAATTTGGACTTGAATGAATATCCCTATGCATATAGACGAGTATGCATATAGATCAGATGCTCTTGCGTGTCAAAAATCCAGTTGGCTGCTCTTCTCCCCCAACCCCTATTCTAAAAAAAGAACTTTTAGGGAAAAGACTAGAACGGAGCTCAAAGTGATCCGTTTGAGTTCATACTGGATCACCGTGACGCATTTAGATACTTTGCTGTGCATGGTACCAGATGTAAAGAACTGAATTACAAACTGAACAGGAAGCGTTGGATAAACTGATTAAAGAGCTTGTTTGGCAGGACAGTCGGCTGTTACAACATTATGTTGTTATAACAGGTGCAATCATCCCAAATGGCTAACCAGAGGTGCACACATGAGATGAAAACAATCCTCTCATCAACTCTTTTGAGCTGACTTTTAGTATTTTCACTCTATTCTATAAGTTTTATTTGGGTTTCAACATCATTATTGCCATTTTCAAAAGACTGTATATTTTTCCAAGTACAGTATAGAATTCATAGTTATGCAAATTCTATTGCTGGACATTTCGTGCAATGTGGCAAATCACTCCGCAGAAGAACTGGAGGATATTCTCGCCGTGATGTGCATTTAAAAATCACCCGATTGACATCCAAGTTTTTCTGGCGAATGAATTCAATCGGTATTCAGAACTATTATATTAATAATTGATCAACATCTACATGCACTGTGAGAACAGTACATTTCCTCTAAATACACAATGACGGTTCAAATCTGCATTCAAATTTTTTCAGGTTCACTGACTTTCACATGCGGCGTAGAATGACTGTGATAATAACTGGAAATATAAACTAAACAGCCCATCTGTGTTACCAAAAAAATAATCCACTATTCCAGCCATATCTTTCCATCATAAAATAATTCACAAACCACATTTGTCGGATACACCTCATCGACTACTTTCCTTTGTAAAACAAAAAACGACAAACAGAGAGCCGACCTCCCGCCTTACCCCCGTCTGCTTAGAAAGGTCAACTGTGACAGTGAAGTTCTCTTTCTCAGTCTTCCTCTTGTCCGTCTCCGGCTCATGGGGGCGGGGCTTCCGGGGTGTTGTCACGGCGATGCCCTCCTGCTCTGCCTTCTTCTTGTCTTCCTCGATTTCCTGTTACAGTAACCAAAGGAGTAAGCTGAAACTACAGTCAGGTCCCAAATCTATAAATACAAGTTGGCGGTACCGATATGCTGCATCAAAACCAGAAACTTGATATCTCGGGTAGAATTAATGGTAAAGTACTAAAAAGAGTAATAGCAAGGTTGAAAAATGTAATCTTAATGATACAACTGTTTCTCTCCTAGGACATTAACCCAGTGACACTGAAAGATGTCAGAGAGGCTTCTAAACAGGTTTTGTTGTGTGTGTGTGTGTGTGTATTTACATATGTGTGTTTAAATGACACTGATAAGTAACCTGTATTAAAAGGAGCCGTGTGTGAAGTTGAGCGGCATCTAGTGGTGAGGCGTCACCTGAAGAGCCCTCTGCTCCCTCCTCCCTTTCCAAGTGTGTGAGAGAAGGGCTACGGCCTTCACTCAACAGAAAACCCTGAACGGCTCCAGTCTAATTTCCGTGTTTGGTTTGTCTGTCCTGAGCTTTGGTAGCACTATGGCGGTGCAACATGGCGGACTCCGTGAAGAGGACCCATTCCCCATGTAGATATAAAAAACAGCTAAAACAAGGTGATTTGTAGTTTCAAGTCATTGACGTTACATTTAAATGTAATAATAGTTATGACTAAAGTCCAGTTCTTCTATCAAATACCCCGAAATGCTATACAGTGTTCATCTAGCTGTAGACGCATTTACAAACCATTGAAACTACGTTGCGTGATATTATACCAAACATATTTTAAGGAGTGGATTTAAAAAAAAAAAAAATCCAGGAGAAAAAACAACAACTATTAACTCTTCAAAATATTCTTAACAAAGCTTTCAAATAAGCGTAGATACATTTTGTTTATTTTTATGAAGATAGCGCTGGCTTCAACATTTAATCAGCAGTGTGCATTAGAATTAGTGATATTGCAAACTTGTTTTCTTTTAACATCGTCTAGTAGTATCAGTAACGTTTGTGGGTTGATGAAAATGTAAAAGTTTAAAAGTACTCCGTACCTGGTACCTCTTGACCAGAGCTTCATTCTTCTTCCTTAGAGCTTCGATTCTTCGGTCCAACTCTGCGTCCTTTTCCTCTTTGGTCTTGAGATCCACCGCTGAAGACTGTCACACAGATGAGGAATGATAGGAGAGCAATGCAATGAGGCTAGTCTGCCCTTCCATATTAATTATTTCATACACATTATGTGAATACTGCTGCGTTTTAACTTTGGTATTTTCCTGCCAGTTTGAACTCAAAATCACCGCCAAGGTTTTGTCTCTCGTACCTCCCTTACACTCACCATAGCTGTCTCGGACTTGTCTTCATACGTAGGCGGCCCACTGCTTGTTTCTCCTGTGGTGAAGAACATGAATAGGATAAAGATGATGCTGCAGCAGGATTTTTAATGCAGCCCCCTTGAAAACAAATGTCTTTGACTCTAGAAGACTGTTTTTACATTCTGCTGCTGAAGGAGGAACATTCATCAGAGTTTATCTTAAATCTGAGGTTCAGGCATCCGACCCGATGAAAAGACGATCCTGTATAATGTGAAAACTTGAAACCTCCGGTCCGAGCATGTGAAATGGAAAGTAAGTCTTGTTTCAAGTGTGTTTTGAGGGATTCTTTAATGGAAGGAGGAACAGTTAAGATAAAACAAGAATGTTGTGTGTAAACCCTGTACTATGTGTCACTATATGTTTATTTGAGTATTTACATTTCGATTGTTAGTTGAACCCAATATTTTACTTCCCATTTGCAAGATTGCAATTTAGTATACTTAACCTTTGTCTACAACTAATGAGATGGATGTTCTGCATTATTTTGTGTCTTAGATTCTCATACGTCTTAAAAACATGTATGGAGGTGAAAACTACTCTAGTTATTTACCTAAAAAATATCTGCTGGTTGCATTGCAATGGTGGTGACTTGCCTAAATGCTCTGTAACGAGCATTAAATGACTACTCATGAATGTTTTCTCAGGTCAAACCTACCGAAGTCCAATAATATCATTCATATAGGTGCAATAACAATATTCATTCTAGTGCCAAACTCCATTGTGTTCATCTGTGTTGATCATTTACAACCTGCGTTGTTAGCTGTGGATACTGTTTACCAAAGTTGTTTTGTAGGTTTTCCCTTAAATTAGGATAACCGATCATACACAGCACTGATCATACACAGCACTGATCATACACAGCACTGATCATACACAGCACTGATCATACACAGCACTGATCATACACAGCGCTCCTTTATGTTGTGGCAGTCGGTAAAATGAAAAAGGGTTTTCCATTTAAGTTGCTGAACAGAAACGATGGCAACACACGGATTGATTAATAATCTAGGCAGTAAATGGCGGCCTCTCTGCTCTCATTAGGGGTCCCCGGGGTGACCCCTCTTCCCGCAGAGGCATGACCCCTCGAGGTCACAGCTAATCACAGGTGAGGTTACAGCCAGGTGTGCGTGTATGTGACACGGGATCTTAAACGAATAAATCCTTCGTTTCCAAAGCTCCAGTAAGCGTATTAGAGCTGCAGCAGACAGGATTTGAATTACTTGAGTCACAGCGAGCAAACGCGGTGCACAACAGGCCGTGACGTCACAACCCACCCTACCCCAACAACAGTTTACATAGATTTTATTTCAATCGGCGGCCAAGTAAGCGATGCACGCTGAGCCATGTTTGATCCGGTACAAAGAGCCAAAAAAACACGGAGGAAACATTCCAAACCCCCGACACAAGCGACACAAAACAGACCCCCCAAATAAACCCATACACCCGCTTAAGCACCACTATGTTTGTTTTACCTGTATTAGGAGCAGTAGTAACGAGTGTAAAGAGCAATGTTTGGACTCGATGCTCTTTGCCAATTCCTGCGCCTCAACGTGCGCTCATTATTCAGCTTCCTGTTAGCCGCTTGCTAACTTCCTGCCAAATAAGGACCCCGTCTTGGCGGTTTTAAAGATACAGTTGCTTGATCAACTTTGTGTTGCTAGAATTGTACTAATACAGCGACATGTTGAGGTTTAGTTCATGTTTACGGGGTTTTATTTCCTAAACAACGATATATATATAATCGAAACTAATATATATTACACAAAGCTATAAAAACCAGTTCGTGGGCCATCCACAAGGGAGCGCCAGCAGCCAGTGCATTAAGGTGACCTGATTACCAAGCGGTTATTAGGTCAAATATCCTGCCGCCCGAACTCTTAAAGGTATACACACCAGTGGAAGCCACCTTTGGTCCTTTCACTTCCGAAATAAAAAAAAAATATTAACATTTAAAAAAGTGATTGTTAATAACTTCAGGCCTGGAATTTCTAGAAGAAATACACAGACTGTACTTCAGTAATAGTAAAACGAACATGCATATTCATAAGTGCAGTAGCCCACTTGAGTAAATCTATATATCAGTGAGGTTAGATTCCAAAACTAAAAACAGTTTATTTGACTCTATGATGATACATTTTATCTGACGCAATTCATTCTATTTTTCTATGTATTTTTTTGGAAGGTTTTTATTTTGGGGTTAAACTTGATATCAACATTATAATACACAAGCTAACTGGATCAACCACATTTAGTATGACAAAGCATATTTCAATAACCTCTCTCCCCTTTCAGTCGGATGACGCACCTTTTGAACAGGTTAGTCTGGACAGAATAACAAAGAGGTGAGATAAGACCGATTATAATATTCCTCAAAAACATAGACAGTGATCCAGTGTTCCAGGGATCACTGAAATGTTTATCATACACAGCCCATATTATTACTGCCTCATCTAATTGAGTCCTCAGTTTCGCTGTCACTCTCTCTATCTCAAACACACACACTGTAACAAACACACACGTAAGGAAACACACACAGGTGACTGACCCACTGGGAGTCAAAACAAACAGTTTTGTTGTTGTGAAGCAGATCGCTGAGGAATGACCACGCAGGATTTTTCAATCACTTGATAAGACCTTGCAACCTGAGCTGGGCCATCGAGTCACCGGCAGACGTACACTAGGGACCTGCTGCCAAGGTGAAGAGACAGGTAGAGAGGGACACAACAGACAACAGCGTGGTTAGACTCATAATGATATTTAACACCCTATGTGGCGGAAAACCAACTGTTCACATTATGAAATCAATGATGGCTGAATTGTATTTGGCTTTACAGTTTCAGGGTCACGGTGCAAGTGAGTGGATCAACCGCTCATTGGACTTTAGTCTGCTTGGATCACTGTAATGACAAAGAAAATGGTGCTCTATTATGCGCAAGAAAACAAGTCAGGAACATAAAATATAAAGACCCATCATCTGCTCATGGCAGTTCATTTCAGCTGCTGTACATATAAAGATATTGCGTAATGTAAAGTGTCCATATCGACCATGTGACTTGAAGTCGAGCTAAACACTGGTTTTCACATTAGTATATAAAACATTACAGCGTGTTAAGTTGTGTTAGGGCACACCATATCATGAGGTGTCCTGCTGTGTTATCTTTATGTCATGTTATGTTCGGTGACCTCACAGGCATGACCTTCAATGACGTGTCATATTGTACAACATATACTATGTCATGTGATTTTGAGTCTTCCCACGTCTATGTTTATGTGAGGTAAAGAAATGACATAGTATGATTCACCAAATCATTACATGCAGAGAAAAAGAACACCACAATTTTTAATAATTATTGACCCTGTGTATCTTGTCATTTTAATGCTGATCAACACTCGTATATTCTCGGAAGGGCACTTTTCAATTTTTCCGTACCAAATAATCTAATCAGCTGGTTAATAACAAAAAGCTCGTAATTAAAGCGTAGTTGTTTTATAGTCTCCCGATTCAGTAATCATGATTCATTGATACGGGTCAGCAGCAATCAATGCACGCCTGGATTCATCATGGTTTAATTACCCTGGAGCTCCGCACGCTGGCTTGAAAAGGCCGAGTTGTGGGTCCCCTCTCAGGTGGAGCCTAGATGCAGAAGGATCTTCAGCGATGAGCTCATTGTTGTGAAAGTCGAACAGAATGCCCCCCCCCCTGGGACAACATGAGAACCCCTCGAGGCCCTGATGGCGCAGAGGGGAAAGCGGCGACGGCTCTTCTTGTATACACAAGCAGCATTCAGGGACTTTACGCAGCGCAGGCTGCGTGCGCCGGGAGTTTCCACCTGTTTGGGGGGGAAATCATTAACTTTCCTCCGGCAGACTTGGTAAAATACCTGAAGTCTGGCCTCTGTCCTGCTTTACTCCCCCAGTGTTTCTTTCTGCCTTTACAACTTTATAAGACACAATTCTGTTTCTTCAAATAATAGACGTTCAAAATACTAGCATCAAAATGTACTTTTCTTACCTTTTATAAATCTACAGCGATACTCTATTATAATTCATTAGTTGATATATATTTTTATCAATCTTAATCCATAAAAAGAATGTATGTTATCAAATAAAAAGTTCAGTATCTGCCGCTGACATTTAATGGAATAGCAGTTTAAGTGGAAAAAAAGTACAAGTGATGTACTGTACTGTAGTACTAGAGGACAGTTATTCACAGTTACTTTCCAATGCATTCATTTGGTTTGTTAGTACAGTTATTTAACTTAAACATACAACCTCTAATCCATTGATACAACACCATCAAAAGCCATAAGGTTGACTGGTCTTCCGATATCTGATACCTACACCGACACCTTGAAGCATGCCCATATTGTCATTTTATTGTATTATATTGTACGTTATGTCTTTTCATATAACTTTGTGTTTCATATAATATAATATATGTGCGTGTGTGAGTGTGTGCGTGTGTGTGTGTACACATATTACTTCTCTTTTTCTCTGTTGATGAAAATGATGACTAACATCTCCCACACGTTGCTAAATAAATTTAGCAATGTATTTTTGACCTGTTTTTACATCTCACCAGAAAACACCAGCAACTAGATGTGCGTTATTAAGAGTATTTGTGAGTATATATCTCTATTCAAAAGACCAAAATGTTGCTGGTGTAGCAAGAGAACTGAGGCCATGTGTGAACCGACGTGATGTGCTGCAGATGCACATTCCACCACACTATGTTGACTCTACTTATCATAACAGGGATTTGTTGGGCTGTCAGAAGCACACACACACACACACACACACACACACATACACACACACACACACACACACACACACACACACACACACACACACACACACACACACACACCAGGTCCATCTGTCCTGCGCTATTCAAAGGATGAGGTAATGCTGTTCCTCCACAGAAGCCTGACACCTTCTCTGGTACATCCAAGCTGCTGTAAATGTGCAAAAACTTTCCCCACACGTCCGTCTGTCACCTTTATATTGGAAAAATTGAATAAATGAAATGTGTCCCTAAGTAGAGCTTTTTTTTCACCGCATCGCTGGTTGCAAACACAGAGCCCTTTTATTGCCCCCTAATGTTACCGCATACACCTGATAAGGTATCAGTGAGCACTGGGATCGCTCTGCCTTCACCTGTTAACGGGCAGCTTCGTCACCCGCTGACAGAGCAGGTTGTCTCCTGCGGTGCCTCTTTAGCAGATAATTATCACAACAACAGTGGGAGTTAATTTGCGAAGATGCAGGTGAGAAGAGAAAGGGCAAAACAAATGAAGACACCAACAAAAGAAAAGACACAGGGGCATTGTAGACAATGTGGAGGTTTTTAATTCAAACTGAAACAAGACTGAAGGCATAAAACACAACTGTGTCTCTCTCTAAGATTTCGGTGCAAAGATAAAATGATGGAAGGATTGAGGCATGATTGAAGGAACAAAGAGGGCAGGCAGAACTATGAAGGATAGAATATACAAATGGAATAAAAGGATGAAAATAAAAACTACATTTACGCAAATATATTTTCTGTATTAAAATATTGCTCAGAGCATCAGGTTAAATAAGAAATAAGAGACATTGGAGGAGTCAAAAGAGAGGCTCAATATATTAATTATTAGTTTAAATGACTAAAAAGAGGCATGAGGTAGTGACGTAACAATGTAAGGATTGAGGCAGCTGGAGCTCAGTCTGCAGGAAGGAACTGAAGTTCTGGTAGCTGGAGAGATGCCAGTTCACCTCCTGGTCACTGCTGAGGTGCCCTTGAGCTAACTTTAGCAACCCAACATTCCGACATCCATCCACATTGATGCATGTGTGTGTTAATCACGGACAACAACAGAATACAAAACAAGGAATTGCCCCAGGAACCAGGATTTGGCAGCCCTACCCCCCTCCCTGTTCAGATGTTTCTAAACAGGCTGCCAGCGTGGAGGGGGGAGGAGCAGGCTGACATGTGGAGGAGGTGAGGGTGAAACCGATGATGTCATTGTAGCAACCCAAACACTGGCTCGGCTTTCAGTTGCAGGGACACATGCTGAGGCCTTCTGTTTTGGTTACCACATAGACCGATAGACACGCACACTTGTTGTGGACTCGTCTCACCTGCCGGCGAGGCAGCGTCCACGTCAACAAACACCACACTGATTTCCACTGATATACTTAAAAATTGCAAAATTTCAGAAACTGAGAAAAACAACGCGGAGCTCACCGTTTTTCAGTTTTTAAATTAGTTTTCCCCAAATCAAATATAATGAAAAATCTCTATTCAAATCACAATAGATACACCTATACAATAACATACACATATGTTCTTCTCAAAAACGCAAACAAAGGTATGAAAATTAAACCAAGATTGTGTTTGCCATAAGTGAAATATGGTGTTTGCCTATTAACACAATGACCTCACTCTCTGTCACATGTGTAACTCGATGTCTTTACAACCGTCTGGATTTTAAACAAATTTCTTGTATTCAAATCACGAGAGCAGAATTGATGCATGAGGAGGGAACATTGACTCAAAGCTAAAAGCGTAAGGTTTTTCCACTCGTGGAATCATTGAAAGAGAGATCTTTCAGAGT